AGCGAGAGGTGTTACTCCCATCATACCAATGTGGCACAGGCAGGTGAAGTAGTTTGTGCAGGATCACACAGCTAGTACTCCACAGAGCCAGGGCACAAACCCAGCGGCCCAAGCTGAGTTGGGGCCCTCTGAACTACACACAAAGTCTTCAGGGCCAAGGACATCTGCTTGTCACCAGACGCCTTACAGCCTCCCTGAGAAGTCACAGAACACAAGTCTCCTGGTGGAGAAAATCCGCCATGTGTGGAGCCGGCAGGAAGTGGGAGGCAGGAGTGAGGCTATTTTGGAGAAGCGACATGAGAAACCACGAAACTTCCTACCTGTCCTGTTTTGCTCCCATCTGCCCTGGGAAACAAGGCTGCCCCTTTCTTAGATAAAAAGGCATTTCTCCCCACACAGTAGCTCTGCCATTGGTGCTCAGAGAGCGAGTACTAAGCTTAGCACACGTCAGCTATTTTTAAAGAACTACACAAACAAACAGGGCTATGTAAATAAGAAAAAAATGAGGTCATCCTTTAAAATCTAAAAATGTCTCTTTTCTACGGGGTGAGCAGCAAAACCTCAGAAAGGCCTGGGGTGTTTTTATCCCCTTGAGACCTTTTCAGCTCAAAGCCTCCCAAACCACCAGGCCTGGCTTTCCCTTCCCTGTACCGGCTGAGGGGAGGCCAGGTGGCCTGGGAGCTTCGACTCCTGGGTTTTATTCCTGGCTCTTTGGGCTTTGCCTGGAATGCCTCAAGCCCTGCCCAGTCCCAGCACAACTTTCTCAGGTTTCCATCCAGTGGGAGCCCTGACTGGACGTGCTGACCAGCCCGCTTCCTGTGTCACAAAGGCACAGTTGTCAGAGACACCTCTGTGCTCCCGCCACCATCTCTGTGCATATTTTAATCTCTCCCCATGTGCCTCAGCATCTTTTCCTCCGTGTGGACAGATGCAGTCATTCAAGCACCCAAACAGCTGAGTTTAGGTCCGTGCCAATGCCTAGGAGTCATCACAGGCCTCTCTGTGCAGCCTAAGGACTTCTTCCACCACTGCCCCTGCTCCTGCCCGGACTCCGCTCCCCAGCCAGTGATTTTGCCTTTGTCCACAGCATCACTGCTCTTCTCCTTTCTGCCACCTCTCACCTGGTCTTTCCCTCCAGCCCCCTTTGTTACCCTTAAACACTGAAATTAAGAGTCACCAACGTTTGCTAAAGGATGGCTTTCAAATTGTGTTTTACGGAAACGCTTAAGAGTTCCTTCAGTCGTTACATGAGTATTTTATTCTAAAAATATAGCTTGACCCCTACTGCCACTAGACCAGAAAACAGACCTGCACATTCAGACACGTTCCATAGCACATGGTGATCCATGGGACGCAGCCAACGGGTACCGCCAGTTTAACTTGGTTGGTGTGGGCCTTGGAATAAGGTTCGGGTAGACCTTGACCTTCAAGGCTGAAATGTATCTTCCACCAGGAAAACTGGGTTTGAGCCCTCTACTGGGCATCTCTGTGTGGTTGCTGTTGTTAAGTTCAGGACCATACACACATATATCAAACCACACAAGCAAGCACACTCGGAAGCTTTCAGTGACAAGAGGATGTACTACGAGGATTATCACACAAGCATCATACATGATCGTGGAGTTCCTTGTCTCACTTTTGTTTGTGATAAGAAGAAATTCAAGCAGTTGTTGGGTATTGGACCAGAGCGCCCTTCTGCTCCTCCCTGAATGCTCAGGTGGCATGGTACTGAGGCTCACTCCATGGTGCAAGGGGTGCTGTTGAAAAGCTGTTATCACTCCTGTGCAGCTGGGCCAGGCAAAGCAAGACAGAGAAAGAATACCAGATGGCTGCTGCTGGCAGAGCAATGCGACGGCCATCCAGGACAGAGCTCAGCAAAGTTTATCTGGTTTCAAGGGATGGATGGTCTCAAGCAGCTTAGACAATCTGTAAGGAAATGGTGTGACTGTGTTCCAGTAAAATTTTATTTACAAAGTCAGGAGGCAGCTTGGATTACACCCATGAGCCATACTTTGTAGGTTCTTGACCTAAAACCTCATATTTCAATGTTTTTATGCATCAAAGCACAGTTATTACTCTATCAATGGACTTTCATAAGTAAACGTTGAAGACTGGAACTTATACAAATAAATGTGCATTAATAAACTGCCACTTTAATCTGACTTAAATATTGGCATTCCATGTAAGATTTGACTTTTAAAAATGGCTTCTAGCAGGGCATGGTGGTGCATATCTGTAATTCTAGCCTTGGGAGGCTGAGACAGGAGAATCAAAAGTTTGAGGTACGCCTGGGCTACACAGCGAGTTCAAGCCTGGCCTGGACTATATAGCAAGATCTATCATAAACAAACAAATAAATAAACAAGCAATCCCCAACCCTCCCAAACAAAAAACAAAAGCAACAAAACCAAAAACGCTTCTGACCAAATAATTTGAAAACTACCAGTACAAGAAGTCTGATGCTGACATTGCTTCCATGCCCATCTTTAAATTGGCTATCTCTGATCACTCACTCAGATGTCACATTTGTTCTACAGAGAGCCCCAGTGCAGGCCTATCCTGAGGAGGAGCTCTGATCCAATGTTTCTTTGCCCTTAAACGACTCCAATAATTCCCCTGGGAACAGAGATGTTCCAAACCTCAGGTGGCACTAACGAGCACTGCCCCTCCCTGGCGTAGGACAGTCTGCCAGCCTTGCACCTGCTGGTTTGGACGGTGCCCTCTGCCCCTACAGATGCCACACATTTCCCCCCTGGTGGGCCAGCCATGCCATGATCACCTGGCCTTCCACCAGCACTGAGTCAGCACCCCATTAATCATGGATGTGCTGTTCCCCAGGGAGAGCACAGAAGGGGGAAGGGCAGGTTTCTGGCTGGAATTGGCAGCTCATTTCCTGCTGGCCAGTCTCCTCCTCTACAGACTTCCCCTCGCAGCTGGCAGAGCCCGCGTGGACAGAGGAGATTTGGGGCATCAAATGGGGGAGGAAAAATTCCCAGTCTAGGGAGGCTCCCTGGGGCAGTCCCCTCACAGCTCTGCCTGCATCCCTCGGAGGGCAGGTTCTGTTTCCAGACTAGTTCAAATGCGTATTTCATCCCTCTAGCAGACCCACACACAGAGGTGAACAGATGCAAAACCAAGGCACCAGGAACCGTCTCAGGGTGCCGCCGAAGGGAACCTATTCGTTAAAGGCATCATAGATTCCCAGTAACACACAGGTATAGGGAAGGATTTTCCCTGAAGTTATAACTTCCTTTCTTCAGGATGCACCTTAATAAGAAAAAAAAAAGTGAAAAGGTCTCGTGTAGCTAGCGGTTCTGACCCTTACTAGCTGTTGGACTGTATTTAAATTACTGAACCTCTTTGTGTTTATTTCTTATCTGTACAAAAGGAGCCACAGGACTGACTTATTTGCAGGACTCAGACTGGTGCATAAAGTGCCTGGCCCTGAGTGCAGCAAAGCTGGTCCCTTGACTTTACCCTGACTCCAGGGCCCTGGAGCAGGTGGCAGAGCATAGCAGATGCGTCACAGGAAGGGTGGTGGCTGAGCTGCCTGTGTCAGCGGCAGAGGGCGGTAGGAAGGCCGCTTACGTGTGGAAAGCCCTTGCTAGGTGTCTGGCTGTGTTCTAAGGGCCTCACCTGCACGTTCACAGCGGCCCCGTGAGGCAGGAGCCCCTGCTATCTCGTTTCCTGTGAGAAAGCTAAGGCCAAGGGACAGAGCACCTTACCTCTGAAACCAGTAAGTAGCGCACAAAACCAGTACCTGCGGGAGCTGGATTTGAACTCAGGGAGATTCGATATAGCAAGCACCCCTGCAAACGTCCCCCCTCAAAATGAGGCTCAAATACCCAGTTCTTCCTAGGGATCAGGAAATGCTCCTTCACCTTGGCGGCAGTGCTGCGGGGCCCAGATGTGCTGCCAAGCTGTGGGCAGAAGCCCAGGCCTTCACCACCTCACAGTCCATGCGGCTACAGCAATGCCATCTCGGAGGTGGTTTGTGGCCTCAGGCGCTGCTCTGCACTGTGAGAAAACTTCAGCTCTCAGGAAAGGAGATGAGTCACCGCTCACGGCCAGCCCGGCTGGGAAACGCCCCTTAGATGTCACAGTCGAGACCACAGACCCAAACACAGGATGGGCTGAGCATCTCTGGAGCTCCCAGAAGCCCTGGTAACCTGAACTCTGGATTCATCAGAATCCAAATACAGATTCCAGCATCCTCCATCCCCAACCACCTGATGAAGGGGGAATGGGTGTGCTAAGAAATCTACTTTCCTTCTCACTTTCTTGTTTTTAGCAGCCAGCCTTCTTCCACCCCCCCAGCTCCCAGGTGATCCTCATGTGCTCTGCACTGGACAAAACTTCCAAGACTTGAGCCAGAGATGTAGCTCGGCAGCACAGCACAAGGTCCTGAGTTCAATTCCCATTACCAAAAGCAAAAACAAAAACCTCCCAAGTCTCTATTACTGACCTAAAGAGCTTCTAACACTGCACACTTAAGCTGAACGAAAGCCTGAACAGCTATCCTGAAACAACAGCGTATATCTGAGAAGCCAGAAATATGAAAACATATACTGGGGATGGGGCCCCTCCAAAGCCAGTCCAATCGGTATCTCTGGAGCTCTGGTACTGGAATTTTGGGAACTCCCCAGATGATTCTAACATGGCCTGCCATGGGAACCAGTGCCCCCAACCTGGCATTCTTCCAACTCTTCCACCAGGGGGCCCTCTGGAGCTGCTGCTATGCCCTCAAGGCCTGCGGCCTTGCTCCTCTGACCTGGCAGTGTTCCATTTCCGGGAAACAGCACGGGGAGCAGTGGCAATGAGAGCACCCAGGCTCACTCAGACCAAGTGGTCATGAGGACTGACAGATCAGCTATCCCAGAGACTCAAGGAGGCAGTGATAATCATAATAACAACACCTTTTCAGTGGCAGAACGGCAACTAACTCATGCTTGATCAAAGTAGCGCTCTAGCGGGCCCACCCAGCAACAGCTGCTTCTTACCTGTGCTGAAGGCACCACTTCCGGTGACCAAAACTAAAACGCTCTTCTCTCTGGAAACCAGTGTTCATGTCCACTCCTGTTGCAGCTGCCACCTCTCATGCACGGCTCCTCCCTCTGGAGGACAGAGCTTTCCTGGCCAGTGTCTTTTGAGGTTCCTCCATGAACTACTTCAAGGGCTGCTGGGTTTATTTCTCAAATCCTGCAGGAGTGGTTGAAAGTCATGGTCAAAGAGTTCTCCTGGTCAACTTCTTTAGCCACAGAATAATTTCTGCCTGGTCCCAGTAGGCCAAGGCCTCAACTCCTCCCAAAATGGTTTTCTTGGTGCAGGATCAGATTCCCATATCCCTCAAGGAGACGGCGTGGTGACACTGGAAAGCACGCTACTACACTGTGCCAACCCTGAAGTTTCTGAGCCTCTGATTTTTCACCAGTGTGGGCAGTAGGATTTTAAGAAGGCCCCCAAAACTCTCCCCACTCCATCCCTGGCATACAGTCTCTGGGACTAGGGATTAGCTGGATGTAGGGCACAAGTGACCTTCAAATAGAGAGGTTATCAAGGAATGAGCTAATCAGGAAAGCTCTGAAAGGAAGAGTTTTGTATGGCTAGCTATAGATGAAAAGTCAGAAGGATTAGAATTAGGATTCAACATGCTTTGCTGGCTTGAAGATGGAGGAGCCATTTGGGAATAGCTACTAAAAGCTTCAGAGCAATAGCCCAGCAGACAACCAGCAAGAAAACAGAACCTCAGTCCTACAACCACAAGGAATTGGGTTTTGTCATTACCTGGAATGAGACTGGAAAAGCAGAATGTCCCCCAGAGTCTCCAGATACAAACTCGGTTTCCAACACCCCCATGCAAGCCTGAGCGAGTCCAGCCACTCCATACAGACTTCTGGCCCACAGACCTGAGCTAACAAAGGGATGTGGTGTTCAGCCACTAACCATGAGGTTGTTAAGCAGCAAGAGAAAACTAATGCACCTGTACAAGTGACTGGGATTGGGGCCCGGGTGAGGATTAAATACAGGAATAGACTTAAGAGCACATTGTATTCCCCAAATCACTAAACAAAACAAAATGTTCAGAGCCAAGGGAAGCCTGGGTCAGGGCAGGAGCTCAACAATGATTACTGAATGGATGGATGGATGAGTGAACATTGTTTTTTAACAATTGATTTAGCCGGCTGTTGTTAAGGCTCAAATAAGAAAACTCAGAGAAGAGTGCATCCTAAAGCAGAAGGGGTGAATTGATTTTGTCATTTATAGCATGGCATGTCACATCCACACTGTACTCTTTTGATGGTGCTCTATTTGTCTGCCCCAGACAGTGTGGTGGGATGGCTGAGAATGTGGTTTTCATGGTTAGGACACCTGAGTTCAAGCCCTGGCTTTTCTGTTTATGACCTCAGTAGCTTTGGATAGTTGCTGTGCCTGCAAAGGGGGCTGAGAACAGCGAGGACCTTCCAGGTTTTTCATGAGTCAGTCCTCATAAAGAGCCTAGAACAATGCCTCACATGTGATATGACTCACATAATTGCTACGGATTTTGTTGTGGAGTGGAGTTTGACAGTCCAGGACTGCAGTCACCGATACACAGGCCTGGGGCATTACCCCCTCGCTCCTCTTGGGCACCATGCTTTGCATTTACCCAACCTTGGACTGGCTAGTACTGGGCAACCACATTATACTGCTGATTCCTATGAAACACACAAGGCACCCAATCCCTTCTGCTATCCCTTGCCTCCCATGCCTGCCAATATGAAATCCAGCCAGCCCTGCCCCACACCGCAGGACACCATCCCACCACCACAGCACGATGAAACTGGACTTGCTCCATGGCCATCGCCTACCATTTCCTGGTTCTGTCATCTGCACCATCCAAAGGTTTCACAACCCCACAGTTCTCCATTATTCCCAAATAGGATCTCACACCTTCCAGTAGATTGCATTTACTAACGTAAAGCATGGTGGCGTGCTATTCTTCCCTCTGAGGTCTTAGAACATAAGGAGTCCACAGTTTTCCTACCTCCAAGCCTTTGCTTGGCAGTTTCTTCTTGTTGGAATACTGCCCCCCCTGCCCCCAGCCATTTCTACTTGACCCAATCCTGCTCCTCCTCCCTTAGCTGGTTCAGTCACCTCTCACAAGGCTGTGCATGAGTTCTGCCGCCTGGAACACCCAAAGCACATTTCCTGTGCCTCTCCTAAGTCTAAGGAAGGGGAGGGAGGAGAGGGGAGAAGGATCTAAAGTAGAATTCATATGTGTGATATAGATGTACCAACTGCCCATGATGAATGTAATTATTCCGTAGTTACTGCAAAGATGTACAAATAAAACAAAAAAGACTAACAACAAGAGTGTCTGCTGTGCATGAAGACACCATGAGCTGCAAGTCCTTGCACACTGCATGAAGCACAAGTGGGACCAGCTCTAATAGGTGTGTCACACACAGTCAGTGCACAAAAGCCCCTTTAGAACATAATTTGGTGGTTCGTTCACTTCACAGATGTGCATTCTGTGCCTGTTTGGGTTGGACCAGAGGGTAGTTCCCAAGGACAAAAGGTGACCAAGATGTAGTCCCCCTTCGAGGGGACCACCATGGAGCAGCCCATTTTGATGGCATCCAAGTGAGCCTATGAGAGAAGCGGGTGAGGAGACAGGATATTTCACATAACCAGAACCTCCAAATGGCTACAGTGTTCAAGAAATCGCATGTTGCCCCAGTGACTGGAGCAGAGGGGAAGGAACGGCTATGAGGGGGAGGAGGTAAGGGAAGAAGCAGGAAGGTTTGCTCGAGGAAGAAGCCTGGACTGGCCAGGAAGTAAAATCACAGACCCGCTCTGCTCCAGGTGATGCAGTTGGGACAAGGAGTGCGGCTCAGGGCCGATGGCACGGGGCGGAAGCAGGGCGACTTCTGTGGAGCCACCTCAGAGAGACAGTCACTGCTGCTGCACGTCAGAGCGCTGCCCCACCACATCTGTGTCCACAGTTCTCTGAAAATGTCACACACAGCTGCGGTTCTAGATGCCAAACTGAACCCAATGTCTACCTCTTCTCCCCAAAACATGACTGAAATAAAAGAGGAACGCATAAAGAAGGACAGATCCATAGTAGCTTGCTAGGAAGCCTGAGGAGACAGACAAGAAGGAGGAACAGAAGCCGTGCTCGGGGCCACACTGACCTCACCTGGCCTGGCAGGGATGGCCTGTCTAGCAGAGCAGGAGACCTGTTCAGAGGCAGAGGACCACAATCTAAGCAGAAGAGAATCCTCTGGGTTTAAGTGGAGAGGAGGGGAGCTGTTAAGAACAGAGGACATCCACCTTGTATGGCCCTTGGGGGCATGGTTTTCCTATCCCAGAGGCCTCTAGCCTGGCACGACTTGACTGTTTATTACAAAAGCTTCCTGAAAAATCCATCCACTCTGAAGCAACACTTTGTGCCCTAAGGTGTTTTGCATCTCTTGCCTTGCCTGAAAACTCCTTCCCTCGCTGTCTCCTCCTGCCCTGGACTACTACGTCATACGCCTTCCACAGTCTTGAGCGAGCTGCTGCACCCCACCCCACCTGGAGGAAACTCTCATCCTCAGTGAGGCCAACCTCGCCTCCTCCTCCCAGACACGCCAGGGCCCTGGGGAGCTGCTGTTTCCCCTCCCCACATGAGCGATGATCTAGGGTTGGTCTCACTAACACATTATCTTGATGATATTTGGAGACTTGGCATTTAAAAGTCTCTACAAAAATGTTGAGAATCAGATTGACCTTGGATTTGATATCTCCCTTATTAACTGCTAGAGGGCAACAAGGTAAAGACCTCAGAGCTTTGAGGAAAAATAGTTAAAATTATGAGATCAATTACTCACCTGAGTCTCAGAGTGAAAGAGAGAAGCACTAAAATCGGATGCCACCCACTCATCTATTCTTAAAAAAATTACTCAAGGAGTTATCCAACAAAATAAAAACTATCAGAATAAGTAACTCAAGAAATGGCAAGACAGGATACACAAGGGACAGTGAAGATAACAGATTGAAAAAAGCACAGTCACATCTAAACCAATGACCATAATCATGAGTTCATCTTGTTGGGGACTAGATACCATTTAATTCTTGACATGAATACAGAACTATCTTTTATTGAAGGGTAACTGTTTCAAAAAGAAAAGGAAGATGAAGCCCTTTTAAGCCAGTGTATGTGGAGTGAGAAGATAAGAACAAAAAAAATTCAATTAATTTTGCAAAAGCTAGGAAAGGAAAAATTAAAAAGAGAAAAATGTAATAAACAAAAGACATAAAATAAAATTACAAAAGTCAGACCAAACATATTAATGAGCACAGTTAACATAAATACATTAAATCACTTTATTCTAACTTAAGAGACCAGGATAGGTAAAAGAAAAAAAATCAGGCTATTTTCCATTTGGAAGTAATACACTTAAAACAAATTGGCAAGGAAAGGTTGAAATTTTTTAAAAATGTAAAAAGAGTTGTAGTAGGCTAAGTGATAACAAAAAGAATGCGGGAAAGTCAATATTAATCTCAGACAAACTGCAAAAATGTTAGATAAACAGGAACATTTGACTTTTCTAAAGGGCCTAATTCTACAAAACAATACACAAATCATGAGGCTTCACTCTCACGAGAGCAACAGGACCATAAAACATATGGAACACCGTGTTCTTAGAAGAAAAGGTGGAACAATGCCTGCCTTGACACAACGGTATCAATCAGTGACTCGAGAGACAACTCATCTCCAAAGGGGGACAGGAAGATTTGAAGATGTAGTTGGTAAGCTTAGCTTCACTCACTTTCAAAGTATGGGTAAATACCTTCTCCTCAAATGTCCCCGTGCTAGACTGCAAAAAGACCTCAAGTTCCAAAGGGCACAAGCTGAATAGAAGGTGGCCTCTGTTCTCAACAAAAAAATCAGAAATGAACACATACAAAAAAAAGTAAATGCATAAACGGTGCACATGACAGTTTCAAAATGCTTTGATTTAAGGAAGACAGAAAAACTGCAATGGGAGGATAATTATAAATGGAGATCACTACTTTTCAAAATTTCTGGCATGTAGCTAAAGCTGCAGGCGAGAATACAAGCCTGAAATCCACTCATCATGAAAGGGCTGAAACTAAAGAGCAAAATCACAAATATAAGTGCCAAGAAGGGCGATGTAAATAGAGATGAAAAGTTTTTAAGAGAATTGGAA